GGGAGACCCAAGGGAATCTGTTAGGGTACATCGGGAAGACCCAAGGGGATCTGTTAGGGTACATTGGGAAGACCCAAACCAACATGGTCAATGAAAAAGTGCATCGCTATAGTAATACTACAGGCATGTTAGCTAGGGACAGATGTTTCTGTGAGAACTACAGCGCTATTTCCCCCACATTATTTACACGTTACAAACCCAATACCACACAGCACCATTTACAAGCTAATTTGCTTGACCACATCTGGGAGGTCCTTTTCTCCATCCTTGCTCGCTTGAGCTTCTACTGAGCGTAGAAATATCATTGCCCACGCTTGGCATCTGTCTTTTCCTCCGTTCCCACTTGTTCGGCAGTGGCAATGGTCAATCTTCACTTCACACTTTTGGTGGGAGTTTCCGATTCTGTCGACTGCCGACCATCCGTCCAGGCTTCCCGGGTGCTCTTCAGAGCCAGAGTCTTCTGCTGGTCCACCACAACGTAATCCACCCTCTCGTCGGCCGTGCTGCTGCCTGATCCCCTGCTCTTTTGCTAAAAAACAAAGAAATTGCCCCCAAAGTGCAATTTGTGAGAATGGTTCTGGGTGAAACTCAAAATCTAAAAGAGATACATATGATTTCATGGTAGTGCCCATCTTTCCTCCCAGGACTCCGGAGGCAGAACTAGGCAGGTGGATCTGAGTTCAAAGTCAGCCTGGTCTATGTAGAGAGCTCCAGATCAGCCAGGGCTACATAGTGAAACCCTGCTTCAAAAACAAACAAATATAGACAGAGATATGCAGTCCTGAAATTGCATACAAAAAAGACATTGCCCCAGTTTAACTGTATTGTCTGTCTGTACCTAACTTGATACTAATTTCTCTTAATTTAAAAATTATATAAAACCATTCAAACAGAAGAAATTCATCACAGATGAAAACCAGGTCCATCTAAAGCGCAGAGGCCAGAGTCTTCCCTTAGCTTATGTTTGACCTTTCCAGGCCTGGATCAGCACCAGGACCACCTGCTGCTTATTGTTAGCCCTAAGAAAGGTAATATTCAAAGGAAAACAAACTACAAAGGGGGATCCCCCTCAGCCCCTAATGTGCAACTAGATACAGGGTAACTGAAAACAAACAGGACTGGCAGTGCTATGTAGGGCTCACAAGGCAGGAGGTGGCTAGGATTTGAGGGCATGGTGAGGAGGGACAAGTCTATGCATGGCAAACGCCTTTGCCATGTACACGGATTGGT